CAATCTTTCCAGGTGGGCATAGTTGTACACCTTTGCAGAGTTCCTTTCGAAAGCATAAATGTCCTCTGATGATATTTTAGTTGTTTTTACTTCTAGTTTCAGAGTAGTGAGAGCAAGTTGTAATTGTACTTGATTTATTCATATGCTTACATGTCTACTTAATTACTTCACTTAATCAATAGCAACCTAAACATAACATATCATGTTTTAACCTACGCCATGCTTTTCGTAAGACTACAAATTCCTACTAATTAGGTCTGTAAATAGCTTCCGAGGGACGCCCATCTCGCGTTCTAACTCACGGTACTTCCATTAAGCTATTTATAGGTGTCGTAGACTTGGTGATCACTTAAACCAAGCTTAAGAGAAGTCAGTGGCTTAGCAGAACGCTGGATGGGATATATATTAGCGCTAAATGCCATAAGCCTTATAAAATAGTAGCATATAATGTTTAAAACTGATGTAAAAAGGTTGCAACAAATAGTGACAACACATATGCACACTTAGATCTTTATTGTCCCATGTCAAATAGGTCGATATAACCTTTTATGTATTATAAAGAATTAAACAGTTATTTATTCTAAACAAGACACTCCATTTTCTTCTTTCTGCGTTGAGTGTGCTATGATATTTGATATACATATGCGTTGAGTGCGCTACTCTCTACCACGACCCGGTCCTAAAATTCATTGATGTGCCTCTTCTCCACTGTCTTCTTTATCTCTCGCTGAGCTCCACCGACATTGCCGCCCTCCATACGGCTCTGGTGGTACCTGACCATCTCCGCGGTCGTCTACACTAACCTGGTGGATTTCGCCGAGCTATCTCCATCACACCCTGTTGATCACCTTCCCCACTGGCAACCTACGATGTGACCACCACCTCGCCCCACGCTGCCCCCACACCTTCCATCACTGTCGGGTCAGCATTCTCCCCCAACAAACCTTCTAAGCCCGCCGAATTCAGGTAAGCCCACAAAACCCCAAACCTGAACCCTAACCTTGCCAGAGTTGGAGAAGAAGACCACGTGACATTCTTGGGTTTGGGCAAAAGAATTTGAGGGAGAGGAGGCCTTTCACTCGAGTGATATTTAACTTTACTAAGTATAGTTGTTAGATATATAAATCGCGACACATAAGTAGTAATTAGTACTCCATCCGTCCACAAAAGAATGCAATTCTCGCTTTTTCGAGAAGTCAAACAGGTTGAACTTTAACTAAATTTATATAAAAAAATGCAAACGTTTATGATACAAAGTAAGTACCATTAGATTAGTTATAGAATATATTTTTACAATAAATTTATTTAGAGACATAAATGCTAATAATATTTGTTATAAATTTGGTCAAACTTGAGTTTTTTTGACCGGCACGCATCCTATAATTGCACTCTTTTGCGGATGGAGGTACTAATAAAAGTTTCATATTGTTGTTTTTCGTTTCACGAAAATGCCATGGGACGTTTTCATTAATAAGGGTCGACATTTATGATTCAAGACATCACTTATTTTATGACCAAAGAATTTTATATGAATAATCATTTTATGATGCTTACTTTGTACGGAAAACTCCACTTTCAACTTTAAAATAAACATTTTTTCTATGATATGTGCAAATACAAATAAACGAAGATATAAATCTTTGAATGAGCACATCGTGATATATACAAATACAAATAACTAAAAATAAAAAATCTTTAAAATAAACAAGGTTTTTTGTGACCAGGCGAGTGGTGGACTTGTGACCGATATTATATATCGATATCTGTATCTATCAATCAAGAATAATGAGATGATGATGGCTTACCACGATTGCCACTCGGTGATACGTTCGCAAATAATAAGCCCGTGAGCCACTGAGCCCCACCTCACCATGTAAGCCATGTGGTATTTATTAAAATGAAAAAGAATAAATATCGGACGCACGAACGGGACCCTCCCCAGATTTGGCCCAACAACAAAACTCCCCTAGGCCCTGAAACCCCCCGTGCCGTGCCGCTTGCTAGCCACCCGCCGCCATCTCCCCTCGTTTCCGCTTGGGCTGCGCCTTCTCCTTCACTGTCGGTTGTTGTTGCGTTGCGTTGCGCAACGGCGCCACCCACTATTCGCTGACGTGAGCAGTTTTCACTGTAAAAGCAGGCACGACGTACTGCTCCAGTTCCTTTTTTTTCTTTTTCATTCAGAGCACTATGCTTGGTGCAGCTATAAGAGCGTCATGTTATCCCTTGATCTTTTTTTTAAGCCATGCGTTGATCACACTGAGAATTGCGATGATCCATGTCTGCATGGTTTTCTTTCGCAAAAAAGCCTGTGTCAAAATTGGTTATTCACAGGGAAAAAGTTACTTTGCCTCCCTCAACCATCGCAAAAGTCAGCTTTTCCTCCCTAAACTAAAAACCTGACATAACTCCTCTCCTATTTTTTCAAACCGGACATATGACCTCCTTGGCTGTTTCTCTAGGTGGTTTTTCTCCTTTTCTTTTATATTTGTTTTGGCTGAATCTTTGAAAAATCATAGTAAATTATAAAAATCGTAAAATAGAAAATCTAATTTTTTTTGAACTCCACGTGAGTAATCTACACATTAAACATATGATATGATATGTTTTAGTATAAATTTTTTGCTCTAGCTTTAGATCTATGCTTTTGTGTGATTCATTCATAGCTGTAGTTTTTGTTGTTCTATTGTGGTGAAATTTTTTTGGTGGACTGATCATTGTATGTTTGAGATGAAGTAAAAATTTCATGATCATTTGATCATGTATGACTGAGTTATAGATTTATTCAGGTTTATGCTTATTAAATAGTTTAAAAATAGTTGAGAGTGTGTAAAAATAGAAAATATGTGTTCTCTATGTAATGTAATATTTCTATTGTTATATGGTATGAACACTTAACATAATCATGTTGTCACAGAGAAAATTACACAGAGAACATATATTTTCTATTCTTACACATTTTTTATTATTTTAAACTATTTAATAAGCATAAACCTGAATAAGTCTGTAACTCAGTCATACATGATCCAACGAGCATGAAATTTTTACTATATCTCAAGCATACAATGATTAGTCCACCATAAAAATTTCATCACAATAGGACAAAAAAACTGCAGCTATGAATTTTGTACTAAAGCATACAATTTCATTTTTTATTGCGTAGATCTACTCATGTGGAGTCCAGCAAAATTTGATTTTTCATTTTATGATTTTTCTGTAATTTACTATAATTTTTCAAAGATTCAACCAAAATAAATATAAAAAAAGAGAAACAACCACCTAGAGAAAACTAGCAGGAGGTCATATGTCCAGTTTGAAAAGACGAAGGAGTTACGTCCGGTTTTCTAATTCAGGAAGGAAAAGCTGATTTTTATGATAGTTAAGCGAGGCAAAGTAGACTTTTTTCTATTTTCAAACCTAAGCATGTCCCTAACACAGCTAGCTGCTGCTGCTGCTTCTTTTTTGCAGGGAGGCGGAGCTGGCTTGCTGACGCGTTTGTTTTCTCTGAGCCAGTTGGGCCTTGCTCCCGGCCCAGGTACGAGCCAGGCTGCGAACTGCGAAGAGAGAATCACGCAAAACAACCACGTCTTGTATGTTATGTGTTTGTGGATTGGAAAAAAGAGGAGACGAATAAAACCCCCAATTCCTCTCAAATCCCAACCGCCGCGCTTCCAGTCGTCGCACGGCTCGCACCCGATTGACACGGGTCTCGGGCCTCGGGCCTCGGCGCCGCCGCCACTCCGACGATCTCCTGGGGGCGACCGCCTCTCCGACGACAGCCGGCGACCCAGGTACTGCTTCAGACTTTGGATTGATTTGGATGGCGCGGGGTGGGGAAGCCGCGGCGCGGTCGTGCTGATTCGTCGAACCACGGAGGGCTAGGGTTTATGCCGCGCAGTGGCAGGAGTTAGAGGCAGCCGGAGGAGGGCTGGAGGGGTCACGCTGGGTTCGGGAATTCGACGGATTTAGGGGGGCACGTGCGCTGCCGACCTCGTCAGTCGTCAGCCGGCGAGAGCATGGGGAACGGCCTCGGCAGCGCCCGTTTGCTGCCGACCGTGGGGGCTCAGGGCAGCGCACGCCAGATTGAACGCGGCATTGCCGTCTGCTGAAACTAATCTTCAGTTTGGCTTGCTGGTTCAGTCCAACCAGACCATTGCCTTGACCATTTGGCTAAAGTTATAACAAAATTTTTGTTGGAGCACTAAGTCAATTTACGCCATAAACTGAGAACCACATGTGTTGTTCAGTGGTTCCCCCAAGCTGATGATGAGTTCAGTTTTTTTTTTTTTTAACTACCATCTTCTTAGGGTGTTTTTGGTTTTGGGATGGGTAGGATGGATTGGGTCCAATCACAGTTTTCAGGGTTCGAGTGATCCCATGTATGCGTTTGGTTGTGGGGATGGAGTCGTTCTAGTTTCGTGTTTGGTAGGCGGGGTGAAAAAGGATTCTGAAAAGTAGATGGAATTCGACAGATTTTTGGGCACGTGCTGCCGAGCACATTGTCCGGCGAGAGCATGGAGAAAGCCTCGGCAGCGCCACTTGCTGCCAACCGTGAGGGTGGCCCCAGTCAAATTGGGGGCAATAGCTCAGGGCAGGGCGCGCCAGGTTGAACGCGGCATTGCCGTCTGCTGAAACTAATCGTCAGTTTCGATTGCACACACAGCATTGCTGTCTGCTGAAACTAATCTTCAATTTGGCTTGCTGCGTCATTCCAATGTAGGAGTAGCAACCAATAGCGCGATTGAGCATGCACCTGGCACGGTGCCACAGCCCTTTGTCGAAAGTAATTTTCATTTTTTGTTTGCTGCATCAGTCTAATGTTAATGTACTAGCAAGCAAGAGCCAATGTTCGCCATGTTCGCTTGAGTTTATTTAGCACTACTTTTCAGCCATGAAACAGTGTTTTTCTCTCACAATATTTCAGCATAAGCATAAGCCAAATTTCAACATAAGCGGTATGCTTGCTGACACAATTGCTTGGTTTTAGGTTTGCGCAGTTGGCAATGAAGACCAATAGTCATGAGACAAACATGAAACATGAGGTAAATAAAGAAAAACTATAGTCTGCATTGTTTGGATAACAAGTTAGTGTTTAATCTGACATTATTGTTTGGGTAGTAAGTTAGTGTTTAATCTGACATTACTGTATTGTGCAGGTGAAGGTTGTTGCTGATCAGAGGATAAAGCACTACAAGGTCATCTGTTTTCTTGGTGTAGCTTTGATTACATGGATTGACAAGGCAGTACTTCTCAACCGATTGAATGAGTACAACAATGTAGCTGCCCAAGTCTGCATAATCTACTTCACAGTAGCTTTAGTTTCCATGTTGCTGGGGTTGACTGCGTCTTCGTTTCCCGATTCTGCTCTCTGTGCTAAGACAGTTTCGAGCAATGGAGCTCTGCAGGCCTTTTTGTTTTTAAACGCAGTTGTGCACTTGCACAATATAGACTTATATTCAAAAGTTCGGCACCTAGGAGTCTCATGGATGCTCACATCCTTGGTCTTTTGCATCTACTGGGTAATGTAAGCTTTAAAGGTATCTTAGCTTTATGCCATTTGGTTACAAAACTGTATGGAGCTAAAGAGTTTTGTGGAATGGTTTGTTATTGTAATGTTAGTTTTGAAGGTATCTTAGCTGTATGCCATTTGGTCGCAAAACTGTATGGAGTTAAAGAGTTTTGTGGAATGGTTTGCTGTTGCGATGCCTTTGTAAATCGCAATCGTAGAAGAAATTAAATGACTCATGATGATCAGTTATGCATTGTATTGTTCATGCATTTCCCAAGTGCTGCATTACGACTGAACCTATGGCCCATTTGGTGCTTGTGCTATGTAGTGACACAAGGTATGTTGTATCAGACATAATTCAGCAAAGAAGTCAATCAATAATCTATTAAAGGCTCTTTTTTTTTGCTAGGAATCAATCCAGCTCATCAAAGGTTATACAAATTAGACAAGCAATCCAGTTAGAATTAGTTCCAGGCCACCAATCCCAAGGAACCGAACAGGGCCTAAGTGAATTTGAGAATTTAACAAAGTTTGCAGATCACAGCAGACGTCAACTCCAGGAGAAACAACTCTTTCTGAAAGCTGAACATGTGTACTCTATGATTTAGTTTCTTTCCTCGTGATTATAGCAAGAGTACAGATCATACAGACAGAAACCAAAACTCTGGTTACAAATCCAACAAACACCTTTACTTGAACATTGCGTATCTATCGCTGTAGAGGAGCTAAATGCTCAGTAGGCCACACATTACAACTCCTTAAGATTTATTGCAGTGGTACTGGTACATTTACATTGTCAACTGTGAGTGGTGCCTGGCTTTTAAAAGATTCTAATCTTATGGCAATAGCTGGACAGCTGCGATTTTAGGGATCTTCTCACGGAGCTTCTGAGTCAACGCTACTCGGACAGTCATCACACCAGCAGCTGGGCCTGTAAGCCTAACCTTGACAATAGGCTCCTCGATTGTGACAAACTCGAGCTCGCCACCTCCTGTGCCAGCAAGGTATGGCCTAATCTCGTCAAGTACCTGATATAGGAGAAAACATGTAATTGATGTTCAGTTTCTATCTCAATGCCCTTAAAAAATTACTGATCCATGAGAGGAATGGAAATTATACATCTTCAAGGCTAGTTTTCAAAGTAAGAAAAAGCATAAGAGCGATAGCAGTAGTCTCATTTGCTTGTTGGTCACCATATCTTCTTTATTGCTTTGATCTTACATATATGAAGTATAAACTTGGAAAATTACAAAACTTATATCAGCAGACAGAATTTCCTATCAACGATAGCATGATTAACATCACTTCCTGTATCAGTCGAACAGGGTTGCACGGTGCACCGCTGTAGCACAGGTGACAGCTGAAAGGATGTTACCTCACATACTGAACAATTCATAAGGATGCAAAAGCTAAATTGTTAGCCATAACATAAATGTATCAGTGGGGTACAAAAGCTAGTTGTTATGACTTATGATACAAGGACAAGCTCTAAGTTCATACAATGGAAATCAGCCAAAGAACCAGAGCTTCCACCAGACAAATAATCAGAAAAATGACGCTGAATGAGTGCAACTACACTGAAAAGTCCTGACCTGCTCCTACGAACAAAAAACTGAAGTAAAGCATTCCACCATTGCAATACACTTTCCACAATATATCTAATAGTTAAAGATGAATAATTCAAGCCTACAAACTGCACAGAAGATGGATTTTAAATGTAAAATAACTGATAATAACATCATTATGCAGTCACAGCACTGTAGAAATAAATAAGCACAACTCATCAGAAAACTCTGAAATTCATTTACAAAGTATACTACATGTTTCAGAAGAATTTGATCTTATTCAAGGAAAATTCATTCCAATTAGTCAACATCCAACAAAATAAATCCTGGTTTACTTCAGTATTCCATAAGAATCAAGTGATCTTTACTAATGGAAATATTTGGCCAACAATAGAACATTTACCTTTTCAATGTTCTCTTGGTTCAACTCAAGGCCTGTCTCGTCATCAGCGATGGGCTCAACCGCAACAATCTCTGGTATTTGCTCCATCAAGCGCCGTTCAATACCCATCTTCATCGTTGTTACTGAAGCCGGGCACGACCCACATGCTCCTTGCAGCTTTAACCTTACCACGTTCCCGTCAATCTCATGCAACGCAACATTGCCTCCGTCTGCCATAAGATACGGCCTTACTTCATCCAACACCATCTCAACATTTTCAGCAGTCAGTGGCAGCTCGATCGCAGGGGTCTGGATTGGCAACAGCTTGAACCACTGCCAGAGCAGGACACAGTTAGAGTTGCAGTTACTTGAATAGTTACATCTCAATAAATTAAGACAGAAAATACAAGCAAATAGTCTGAATTGTGGAATGCCCTGATACCTAACCTTAATCACTGTAGGAGATGCTCCAGCTCGTACCAAAACAGTTAACTTTCTACTCCTATATGCTTAGATGATAATCATAACACAGCATGGACAATAGGAAACTATGCTCCCAAGACAGAAGGTATCATATAGTCCTACAGAACTGGATAGTGGCAAGGTGTACTTCATCGTTTTGTTAATGTTGCCAGCTAGTCACTGCATAATTACAAAGCATACCACATACGACATACCATCTACATTTTAGCACCATGTGTCACTATATCGAAAGATTGATCATCTTGGAACGCAATCCTTAACCAAGAACCTAAGCAAGCAAGCACTAGGTGGCAATAGATAGCTGGCTTTCACTCCTAACACCTGAACGTTGGGTTTATAACAACACAGTTTGCGGGTGCAAAATTCTTCCTTTTGAGCAGATGATGCGGCAGTACGTTTACAGGATTAGACCATCAAAGTTCCACAACATGCGGCAAGATAATCCTTCCTCTACAAAATACCCCACCAATCCTTGAGACAGCTCCATACACTACCAATCCAATCCATACAGTAAGGTAAGCTTGAGAGAGTTTTCTACCGATCCATGAAATCCCTAACAAAGATGGAGAGAAAAAGAACCGGGGCTAACTAGCTACGAGCCAACAAAGAACTGACCTTGCCGCCGCCGTCGGCGACCCAGGGGCGTGGAGGCGGCAACAAGCCTGGGCGCGGAAGAAGCCGGCACGGCCGTCGACGCAACCCCCACCTGCGCACCGAATCGAGAACCCATCAGCCGGACCGAGCAAGGCAAGAAAGCGCCCCTCGAGAAGGGGGAACGGAACCCTTACCCCGAAGGGGTTGGGCGAGGAGGATGAGGAGGCGGACGTCGATGGGACCGCCGCCCACGCCACGGCCGCCGCCGCCGCCGCCGTCTGCATGGCTGGAGAAGAGAAGCGCGGTGTGAATTGTTTGTTGCGCGCGGTTCTTGGGTGGAATCGTCCGGTGAAGATTCGGTGTGGGTGGAATCGTGGAGCTCGTCTTTGTGGCCGGAGGTAGGAGTAGGACGCGGGTGATTGGCGTGTCTGGCTTGCTCTGTTCTTCTCTTTCTTTTCCTTTTTTTCTCTGGGGAAAAATAGAAATTACTGTTAAGAAGCTTCGTTTCTGTTGGTATAATTCTTTTTTTTCTGTTTTACTATAGTATATATACTATCATTTTTTAGAAAAAAAATGTGTTAGGTATTATTTTGTCAAGTCGAGTCAAAATTTGTGGTGTTCGGAAAAGTTGAGTGTGACAGCAATTCAGCAAACCGTGGTCATTCTTGATTGAGTTTGAGCCGCATCCTGTGGTTGGCGAGACTTGTCCGGGACTCCGGGTACTTGTCTATTTTTGACTTGGATAGTTCTAGCAAGCCCAGGATAAATAGCGCTCCCCTCTTAGATTTACTTTTCTATTTTAAGAGAGCAAGAAAGAAGTGTTTATATTGTAAAGTTCATCAGGTTTTATATGAAAAACAATAATATTTAGGACCTCAAATAAGCATTACTAGATACACTATACTCTCTCAATTCCAAGTTACTAGACGTTTTGGCTTTTTTTAATACATTATTTTTGCTATATATCTAGACTAGCAAAAACAATGTATGTAGAAAAACTAAATTATTTTATAATTTAGAGTGAAGAGAATAGTTTTTTCTTCATATAATTTACTTCTTGACGTAGACATGTAGTAGATGTAGACAAGAGAGCTAGTGTCTACAAATTTTAAATGCAAGAATTTTGTAGAAATCAATTCAATTCAATTCAAGCAAGATCTAAGGACTTATTCCATTTTCAAAACCTTTTTCGCCCTAATAAGTACATCTCTATGAATTGAGCTAAAACTTTTTTTTTAAAAGTATACTGGCAACAGGACCTTCTATTTATTAATCAACAAAGAAGGTAGTGAATTAAACTAGATTATAAGGATTATGTTACTTGTTTATTTTGTAACCACAAGTTGTCAAGCTCACAGCCAGGGGTGAGGGCAACCTAGGGGTAGCTCGAAAGGCGCAGTTTTAAACTTGGGCCAAGCTGCCTCAAGTATCTCCATGTACGGCCTCTCGGCTAAGAGACATTAAGGGCTTATTTAGTTCTCAATTTTTTTTCCAAAAAATGCTACAGTAGCCATTACATCGGATCTTGCAATATGTGCATGGAGCATTAAATGTAGACGAAAAAAAACTAATTGCACAGTTAGGTATAAATTGCGAGACGAACGTTTTAAACCTAATTAGTCCATAATTAAACACTAATTATCAAATAAAAACAAAAGTGTTACCGTAGCCAATTTCTTAAAATTCACGAATTAAACACAGCATAGTTTTAGTTTTACACACATTGTGTCATTGTCACTGCCACGATAGGGCCAACCACTCTACTCCGTACATATACATGTCGTTTCAGTATCAACTCAGTCCTAGTAGTACTACCTCCTAACACACAGGTCTGGTCGGTGCAGTAGCTTTGGTGAGCAGCTCACGGGGTGTCAGACATCCTTCTCGATGCAGGACGGCTCGTCGTCGACGGTGGCCACGGTCAGCTGGTCGTCCAGCGACGTCGCCGACGCCGTCCTCGACAGCGTGCACACTGTGTTCGTCTCGTGATCCGTCTCGTAGGTGGTGTCCAGGGAGCAGACGGATCTGGTCGTGAGGGTCCCGTGCCGGCTCCTGTCCTTGACCCTCTTGCACCAGCTGTGAAGCGACTCCCTCACGTTCTCCGAGACCAGTGATTTCTTGAACTTGGAACCCATCTGCAAGTTCAGCCAAGGAACAAGAACGGCCAAGGACAAGTCAGCAGCAGTGGGTCAAGCTATCGTCCTATCGAGTTCTCTCTCCGTCCCAGAATATCTGTCGTTCTCGTTTCCCGAAAAACAACTTTAACAAAATATATATTAAAAAATATTATTATTTATGATACATAATTAGCATCATTGGAAAGATCTTTGAATCTAGTTTTTTAACAAATTTATTTGGAGACACAAATGTTGCACATATTTTGTACAAATTGAGTCAAAGTCGTGGCACGGACACCGAAAACGACAGATAAATTGGGACGGAGAGAGTATGTCGACATTGTTTCCAAAAAAAAAATGAAACAAGTTTTTTTTTCTGGATATATACAAAGCTCAGTAGACGATTTTAAGTGGTTTTATACATGTTAAGATGCAATTAAAAGTTGCAAAATCAGGTGAGGAAATAGCAACACAGATGAAGGAACAATTCATCAGTAAGATAAGATGATATGGTAGTAGTACTAGTAGTACATAGTGCTGATGAAATCATGTGAAGAATTACTATAACAGTATCTCTTGGTCCAAATTAGGTTTGCACTTGAAGAGTACCTGAGAAATAATCACATTCAGCGGCAGTGTGCTGTAGCTGCACCAAAACTGAACTAGGAGCCTGCAATATTCAGAAGAGATTTTTTGTTCACCCTTTTTGTGTTAGTATTGAACCCAACCAATATATTTCAGGGAAGTTAACTTAGCACAAATTCCAAATCAGGTAGCTTATAATATAGATAATTGGAGTAACACAAGGTAGTTCAAAGCATGTAGTGTCTTGACTTCCAAAGGGGATTGACAAAGAAATCGATGTTAAATATCAGCCTGTGGAAACTTCCACAAAGCAACACATCGAGAACTTTAATGATATGCCAAACTCTTCTACAGTCAGACCACAAAATACTCTGTATTTTTGAAAGAAAAATGCAAAGACTTACCCAGAAATCAACCGAATGGAAACCATGTAGTAGTGCTTCACGAAGCATGTTTGTGCACTGAGTTCCCACTGCACAAGATGTGCCAATAAGTATAGATAACAAATCAAGCTATATGGACTCATCGGAGTGATGACAACTTGTGCAGATCCTTTCTTATCTCTTGAGCTAGGAAACTGGTTAGTTCACACCTTCTGGACTAGCAAGCTTTGGTCCAGGAAGCAATTCAAAAATATTACATAAACCCAGCACCTATCCTACAGAGAGAGTGCTGGATATGTTCTCATCCTATATTCTTGTACTATAGGCTGTTTGACCAAACAATTTAATCCCGATCATAAAGATTAAGAAGATTCTCACCAGAGACCATAAGAATGTTGCCAGCTCAAAGGCATGCTGGAAGAAAGAAAAAGTGTTAGGATGAGGGAAAAGACGTTCATATAAGCATCAAAAACATCCAGAGTAGCAATAAACATCACCTGAAATGAAATGAACTGTATAAGCCACCAGAGTACCCGAGGCTTTCCAAACCAAAAGAGATCATCACGCAGTCTGAGTTGTGAGCCAACATAAGGCGCTGTTGCCTCAGCGACTTCCAGAGCCAACTAAGCGATGACGTGCTGAAGTTCAGTACCCACTAGAAGCACCAGCTTTTTGAAATTTTTTAAAGCACATAATTATGAGAAGACATAAGTATCATTTTAAGACAAGAAACAAAAGATATCATTAGCTGAATCTTCTACATTGGTTAGGTGACATGGGTAATACTTACAATAACAGGAGCAAAGGATAACCAGAAATATATATTGATACCTGCAATTTTAGAAAAGATCCAAATAGTGTCATACGGGGTTTATTAAGCTTGGAGGCAAGGGAAGAAGAGAGGTTTGGAGCGAATGGTACCATGAACATTGATGAATATGCAGACAATCGCATATGCCCAAAGTGGCCAACTGCAACAAGCAGGATGTGCTCATGTATGAACACCACATGTAGCATAATAATTCCAATAGCTGAAGGATAGAATATTAAGAAAAGAAAACAAATAGCTCCTGGCATGCTATAACCAAGTTCAACTAGCATTATCGATTGGAAGGAGCAAAAAAGTCCCTAAACTGGCCACTATGGGCTTACAAACGTATTTATTGGAAAAATCCAACATACTTTGCCCAACACAGCCATCAGATTGAATCTCATGGAAAACTTTTTCTAGATCAGTATACTTGAATACTTCATTATTCGAATCAAGAAATCTACTCTATCAAAGGTAGCTTTCTTAATGCTTAATTGATCAGATGGAAAGTGGATATTCTGGAGAGTAAATTCTGCTTTACCTGATACCAATACTGAAATTAATGACGTGAAACTCCTCACCAAGACTGGCTGAAAAGATACTAACACTTTTATATCGAATAAGTCTCGAAGAAGAATATAATTCGCACCTCCTAAATGGTCAAACAATTATAAACGATCTCTATAAAAAATACTAACACTTTTTATTTGAAATATATGCCATTAGATTGATTTTGAAATATATTTTTACAGTAAACCTATTTGAGATGTAAATATTATATATTCAATTTTATGAAATAAATCAAATTGAGAAAGTTGAACTAATCTCGAATTTAGAATCGTATTCTTTTGTGTTAAAAAATAACTTTTAGCTTTTCTTAATAGTTAATACATTGCTTTTGTTATTATGTATCTAAGCATATAGCATATCTAAATGCATAGCAAAAATAATATATCTAAAAATAACAAAACGTTTTATCATTTGAGATGAAAAGAGTATTAAATAAATATTATTAAATTAACATAAAATATATTTTTATAGTAGATCTATTTGAGATATGAACGTTGATATTTTTCTTATAAAATACATAAAATTGTGGAAGTTTGACTAGTCACAGAATATAGAATTGCATGCATTCTCTTTGGGTACCGAGGGAGAACCACTTTCTGTGTACCTCGGGGGTATGCAATGGTGGGAGTGGGACACAGCAACCCACACTGATCGCCAAACTTGAATTGAGACCCTGGATGCCGTGACAAAAATATTACAATTTACAAGTAAACATACATACAGAATATCGTATACACACAACACGAGTGCATCGACAGCTCCCCGCACTGAGACGGACAAAGGAAACAGAGTGAGCGCGCATGGCAACAAGAAGCCCACGCGAGAAGAAAACAGAGTAGTCACGCACGCTACGCAGACGATGGGCTATGTATGCCGGCCGGTCCGTCGTCAGTAGGAGCAGCGGACGCAGGAGAGCACCCGCGCGGCGCGCGAGAGCAGCCCCGGCTTCTTCCCCCGGGTCCGGGTCCGGGTCCGGCGCGGCCCGACCATCGACGACGACTTCTTCTTGCTCCCGCGGCGGCGCGACCAAGACCGGGGGGTCGACGAGCCCCGCGCCCGCTTCTTCGTCGTCGGCCACAGGGATCGGTTGTGACAACTGACAAGTCGTAACTCCCCCCGCGAGGCCTCCTAAGAACCATGGCGACCTGGCCGGTTGGCCGGCCGGCCGCGTGTGCCCTCGCGCCACGCGTACGACGTCCTCAGGCTCAGGGGATAGATGCTGCTATCCGTGCGTGGCTGGGCGGTGCACGTGTGCCGCGCGCGCGTCGTCATCGATCCGTGCGTGGCTGGCCCAATCAATCATGCATGTTGATCCACTCTGTCCTTCGAGATCGATCCTTCCAGATCGATAATCCAAAGCCAAAATCCATGCTAATCCATCGATGTGTCGTACTGTGCCCCGCAACGCCCCCCCCGGCCCCCACACCCCGACACGTGTGCACTTGTGGACCACGGCGGCATTAGTGTACTTTTTCCAGCTTTTTTTTGAACCTAATTAACTGGGGACCTTTTCTTTTTGAAACGGCAGGTATTTCAAAACGAAGGGGTCTAAGTATTTTACAGGCCGGCTGAAAAAAAAACTCGGTTATGTTGGGTCGAAAATGTCCCACCTATAACTATTTCACTAGACAGATTGGGTCTAATTTTTCAGGCCAGGCTCGAGCCAGGTCTTGGCCTAGACAGGCCCGCGCAGTGTAAAATAGAAAAAAATCGGTCGCTCGAGCCGGACTCGGTCCAAGAAAATTATTCTGCATAGCAGGATGTGTCCTGGCCCTATTTAGTAAGGTTCGTGGACGACCTAAATCCCATCGAGCTTAGACCGGGCCCATAGGCCGGGTCGTGTCTAAAAACACAAACAAGCACACTCTGTACGAAAAGAAAATAAAATACTACCCTCGTTCAAAAAAATACAATTCTAACAGTGTTACATTTTAGTAACTAATAAATTTAACTAATTATAGATAAAAAATATCCATGATACCAAATAAATATCATCAGATTAATTACGAAATATATTTTTATATTAAATTAATTTAAAAATATAACTATAAATATTATTCACTAGAAATCTTGATCTGTGAACTATTTTTTTTGACACGTAACTTATAGTTATAGTTGCATTCTTTTGAGGTTATACGGGTCATTGGAAGATTGAGATCGAAGTCGGAGGTATTTATATTTTGCGGAATATATAAGGCACGAGTTTAGATGTGCATATAGTAGCGGAGTACAATTGCACGTACGGTAGCAACAAACTAAAATGAAAATACATATATACGTATATATATAAACGAGCAGTCACTACGATACACAAACACTCATCACAAACAAGCTTGCTTGCATTGCATGGATCGATCCGCCGGCACCTGTCAGCAGCGCGCTCTCTCTCTCTCTGCGCGCACCCGCCAACCAAATGTTGCAACAAGCTGTCGATCGACATCGATCGGTCAGTAGTGGGGGCGGCGCGTGCAGGTTAGCGTCCGCACCAGGCGCCGCCACAGCGCCCCCAGCGAGGTGCCCCGCCGCCGCGCCGGCCCCCCTGCCGCCCTCTTCTTCCTCCGCCACGGCGTCAGCGACATCAGCGACGGCATGCTGCTGGCCTCCCGCGTTACTGTACGTGGACTATATATGATCTGCGCGCGGCGGTCGAACTTGAAATTGATTGGCCGGTGTGATTACAACACTGAAGATATAGATCGATCGTCGGATCTGATGGAGATGACTGTGACTTAGGTCTGTGCTGTGCGTGCATTGCAGATGGAGGCTTCCTTTTAAACCTCGCGCCGGCCGGCACCCTCGCCACGTGCTCGTGATTCCGCCGCGCCACGCGGTGGGCGCGGGCGGGCCGGGCTGCCGGCTCGCCGACGCGTGTGCACGCGTGGACGACCATTAGAGGCCAACCATGCCCGGCCCGTCGATCTTGCGTTCTTGCATGCCTCGTCATATGACCCCCGCCCGGACGCTTCCAGAACCGAGTGAACTCATGCTCCGTTGCGCCTCCGATCCGTGCGTGCATGTGCTGTGTCTGATGAAGCCCGGTGCGCACATCCAAAAACTCTTTCCATGCCAAAAAACAAATACAACTATACATCAGTCAAACTAATTTGAGTGACTAAGATTATATAATAAATAATATTAAAATTTATGTCAACAACTAAACTTATAAAAATATATATATTCTATAACAAATTCAATGATATTTATTTTGTATCATACGAGTAATTATTAACATTTTTTATAACAAAAGTCAGACGCCGAGCTTTCGAATCCGACTAAAACAAAGAAAATTAAGGGCAGTTTTTTTATATTTCTGAAAATTTCTCAGCTATATACTATAACTTGTTACGCGTGATAGATATACCGTATAACTTAACAGCTTCTCGCTCAAATCTCACTTTCTAAATTATTATTTGAAGAGTCATTTGCATAAAAATTGTTTTCTATATCTTTTCACTCTCCAATAATTTCTCTATATCTCATGCGTACTATAGATAGTTATTCTTGTCTTCTATTTTTGGCTAGCGAAAAATCTAGAATAGAAGGTGGCTATATTTGAATGACCATTTAGAGAAGCTATTGAAGGATAGTTTTTCATCAAAATCTCTATTCATAGTACTAACCCAATCATCATGTGACGTTTACTCTCTCGTGCTACGAGCCTACAACCTTCTCTACTTGTTTAGTGTGTTTTTGTCCCTGCGCGGCACCACTAATGGTTTCTGAGGTTTGTAGTTTTTACTCATGCGTCTCAAAATAAGTCTACCTCTCGCATTTCAAAGAGTCAACCAATCTTAGCTTTATTTAGGTTTAAAGAGAAATAGTATCTACCTTTGTGTCGGTGTTTTGTAAATCGGACTTGTAAATTTATACGATTGACATGCTACTCTAAGAAGACGATTGTAGCATCTAAAAGTGAAAGTGCAATCAAGCCTTAATTGTGGATTTTGGTGATAATAAAAACGCAATTAGAGAACTAATGAGATTTATCGAGATAACAAGCAGGGAACTTATATTCGATGATGCTACACGGAACGGACGAGTCCCCAATTACAAATGTAGATGGCTTCAAACTCAAAGAAAGTTTAAATTTCTTTATATATTGAATTTGAGTATAGAAAAAGCTGTACTATAAGGGGGGCACAATGCTTAAGCTAATATGTGCTACCAAGTGCTCAAACAACCACAATTATCCTCAGATTCACAGCCAAGACAGTCTACACTTCACTATTACCCTTGCTGTCTTGCGTGGTGCGGCACTGCCGCACTTGAAGAGAGGCTCGCCCGACCCCAAGGTCGCGGGCTCCGGATCGCTCGACCCTTTGGTCGTGGGCTCCGTCTCGCCCAACCCTAAGGTCGTTGACTCCGGCTCGCCCGACCCTTTGGTCGCGTCCTCGTCTCGTCCGACCTCTTGAGTGCAGTGTCCGTTGAGGACTGGAAAAATATATACTTTTCTCTTTCCTTTCCAACGGCTATCTACGATTTTAGTGACCGTTGGGGGCCGGGGGTATATATACGTTTCCCCTTCCTTCCCAACGGTAACGAACCAGCTCTCTTCTTCCTCATTTCAGCATGTCCAAAATAGAGCAGGAGCTCTCTCTCTCTCTCACTCCATTATTGACATCAAGCCCTCAAGCAAATCCATTGATTTCCCCATCAATCTTTGAGGAAAAAGAGTCCCAAACTCGATTAGAGAGCAGCTCCATTGATTCCCAAACTCTAAATAGCACTTGGTTCATGTTTTGGCTAACGGTTGTGTTTGTTACTCTTGGAGCTTGGCTCCTAGCCAGCTAAAGCGTCGCCCGTGGAGCTTGCCAACTTGTGTGGCAACCCTGGGAGGTTTGTAACCATCTCTTGGGGCTAGTAAACTCACCCCTCATGTCAAGAGTTAAGTCTCTTGACTTGACAACGAGGAAGGGCTAGAAAGCTCTAAGCCTAAGTGGCTAACCTCAACAACATGGAGGTAGGCAAGCCTTGGTAGTGAGCCAAACCATGGGATAAATTATTGTGTCACTTGTGCTTGATTTACATTACTTGCATAACATATTGTTGACTGAGGTGATTTCTAGAGTTTGAGGCTGATCTACTTGTGTGTGGTGTTCCCACTACTTTCAGCTATCGATCTGTGATCTACTATCCTAGAGGATGCTAAGAAATATACCCGATCTAAATTTCGTTGGGAAGATTTTAAACTATGAACTGAACTGTGAACTAATCTCTCCTACAGGTGTGGCAGTGCCACGCTCACAGAGCGGCAGTGCCATGGGTGAATTTGACTTCAGTTTGAGTTGAATTTTTATAGGCCTATTCACCCCCTAGGCGTACCAGAGATCCTACAAGTGGTATCAGAGCGGGTTACCTCATGTGTGTTTCACCGCGGAGCCCGAGGGAGGATCTGGTGTTGTGAAGCCCATCAACGTCGATCCGGATGATGTTGGGCTACATGACACCGACAGCAGTGAGCTTAGCGCCTCTACAGTGAGTAACTCCACGCTCCCGTAGCTAGAAGCAACTGATGCCAAAAATGCTCAAAATGAAGAAGAAAGAAGAAAAAGAAAGGCAGCTAGAAAAGAGAAAAGAGAGGCAAGAGAGAAGAAGGAGCAGCAGCGGTTAGAAGAGAAGAAATCAAGAAAAGAAGAAAAAAGACTTAAGAGAGAAGCTAGAAAAAAAGACGAGAAGCAAGAAAGAAGAAAGAATAAGAAGCAAAAGCCTCCAATTCATCTTCAAGTGAGCTATTGTGGCAGAACCGTCCGAAACAACACACTTACGGAGGCGCTCGTCTTCCACCAGACACTAAGCACCCTGTAAGCGAGCTACCACGTGCGGTATCCATCGGGCACACCACAAGGGATAGAGCCCAAAAGATCCACATTTTTCCAGAGGATTCAATAATGAGAACGAGTTACAATACTTATCCATTTCATACATCAAAAGTTCTTAAAAATTACATTATTACATTACCAAATGTCAGGGTGCGGAATAATAAACAACGGAATGAAGATAAACATCGAGAAAACAGCTAGCGATAGTAAGCAAGGATTCCGTCTGTGCCCACCAGAAGGATCCTTCACACAACGAGAACTCCTCAAGTTTAACCTGCAATAGGGGTAAATAAACCCTAAGTACACAATGTACTCGCAAGACTTATCCGACTAGTGGGAATAGTTTCCCGACTCGAAGGGATATGCAAAGCCTTATGATTTGCTGGGTTTCCTTTTTACAGAAAGCAATACTAATAGTGAGTCCTTATTTATGTTATTATTATCAGCCGTATTAATTTATTATCTAGCCAGTCTATGTAAGCACCTGTTCTACTTTTCAAGCAAGAGTTGAGCAATCAGTTCTATTTCATCACCTTTCATCTTTTAGTTCTTACTACGCGAATCAATGCCCCTAGCTTGGTACCGCGAAAACACATGCCCCGCTTGTACCCCAGGCACAAGCAGGACCAACCCATCACCCTCCTATCCTGGGTGTCCAGGTCTCCGTCCAAACTTGGACTCTAAGCCTCCACCCCTGAGTCCCGGACTAAGTGCGGTGCAAGGATGAAAGGGTCGAGATGGCGGACTAGAGGGGGGGGGTGAATAGACTTTTCTAAAATTAATCACGTCGGCTAACCGATATAAATGCGGAATTAAAACAATCGGTCTAGCCAAGACTACACCCCTCTATATATGCTCACTAGCACCTTGCCAAGATACTAATTATGCAACTAAGGTGCCGGGCTAGCTAGAGCTCTCCTAAACAATTCTAGGAGCAAGGTCACACAAATCTATGCCACTAGTACTTTAAGCAATAAGGGAGCTCCTACACATGCTAGTAAGCAAAAGCACAAAGCCAACTAAGCTCACTAGCAAAGCTCAATAACAAGGCAACCAATGCCTAATTAGAGAGCGCAAATACTTAGCTACACAAACTAAGCAATGTGACTAACAAGGTTACTAAAACCAAATTAGCCACGTAAGGGAGCTACTTCTATGCTACACAAGCAAGAAGGTAACTAATAAGCTACACAAGCTAACTAATTACAAGAGCAACTACACAAGCTTAAGATATATAAAAGTAATTGCAAGCTTGTGTAATGGGGATGCAAACCAACGGGAAGAACAAGGTTGACACGATGATTTTTCTCCCGAGGTTCACGTGTTTGCCAACACGCTAATCCCCGTTGTGTCGACCGCTCACTTGGTGGTTCGGCGGCTAATTAGCATCACCCGCTAAGCCCGCACATCGGCCACCGCAAGAACCTACCCCTTAAGTGAGGGTAGCTCAATGACACGCTTTACTAAAGTTGCTCTTCGCGACTCCCGCGGGGCGAGCACAAGTACCCCTCACAAGCACTTCTCCGGAGCGCCGCACAAGCTTCTTGCGGGCTTCGACGGAGACCACCACCAAGCCGTCTAGGAGGTGGCAACCTCCAAGAGTAACAAGCACCACCGGCTTGCAACTCGATCACCTAGTGCCACTCGATGCAACCTTACGATGCAATCGCACTAGAATCGCTCACTCACACAATCGGATGATCGCTATCAAGTATGTGTGTGATGGAGGGCTCCCAAGCACTCACAAGCATGGACACTAAGTCCCTTGAGGT